TGCAGCGGGGCTGCCGTAGCTTTGCGCTTGAGGAAGCGTCTTTGGGTCACCGACCTTTCGTTCTTTATAAGAACCAAGTACTAGTGCAGCGGATCGCAATCCGCTGTCTCTAAAAGTACTTGAAAGCCTTACCACCAAGGCAAACGAATACTTTTGTTCAAAATCAAAACTGTTTCTCATTTATATTTCGATTCTAATGTTAAAAATTTGGATTTTTCTAAATATACTAATTATGTATATTATAATCTATAACTACTGGCTACCTAGCCCCGACCCGCATTCCTGATTGGGTGTGTGGTCACATTATGCACATCTCGTGTGACACGCACACAAACACCATAATTAGGGTTTGTGTAACCCCGTTACAAACTTTGAAGATCATAAATTGTAACAAAACACACAGAAGTGTAGTGTAAATTTTGTACGAATGTACAGTATTATTTCGTACAATTTTGCGTAGATCTCATGGAAACATTGAAATCCATATTTGAGACGGATCGGGTGAACCAGCCAGACGGTACAACTGCGTCAGCTGAGCATAATGCTAGCCAGTACTACACTACTTTAAATTGCAGTGTTCGTATATATATCTTTTCTCCTTCTCTTCACTGTAGAAAGAACTGGATTAAAATACAGCAGTTTCGAGGGACACCTGAGATGGGTTGTGTTGGTACTTGTTAGATACATTCTTTCTACAAAAGCTTTTACTTATAAACTTGGTCATAGAAACTGCTGATGCAGCTCTTGAGATTTTTTCTGCAGATTGCAAAGCTGGTGACTGTAATGTTCGAGTAAGACACAACCACACTTGAATCCGAAAATTCTTTGTACTATATAATTATCGAATCATCATACATGCAGGCACGATGAAAAGTTTCACGCAGGAATAACCAAGTATATAATGTTTTATCAAGTTCTGTAGACTTTGTGATAAACTTGGAATCATGATCATCTTTTTTGATTTGCTCCCTACTCACATATGCGGATCCTTTTCATCTAAATTTCTCCCAGATTGTGTCACACTGAAATCTTGTGCTTCTGTCACATGCACCAAGCTTAAACCACGAAGATGAAACTCAAGAAATTGTTTTACCGTTTAATGATGCTATCAACTTTCGCGTTGCTTTCGTTTTACGACACTGAAGCGGTGGAACTTCTTACGTCGAATGCTACGTGGGACGAAACTCATCAGAACTCGAGGAGATTTCTGTCAACACCTGCGACTCATAACAACAATGTCCAAAAATTATTGATAGATCTGGAAAGTTCGATTGGAAAAATGAGTTCTGTCACATCACGTATATGGAATCGCATCAAACACATCAAGCTGGTTCAAAAGGGGGTGGAATTAAAGCATAGGAAGAACGGGTACATAAAGCTGGGTGAGGAGGACAAGAAATCGAAGCCTAGGCAGGAAGTTAAAAGTGTTGGGGTATTGAAAGAATTGTTCTTGAAGTCGCTTATGCCCAGTGTGTATTTAAAACTCGCTGACAATAAAAGCGAAGCTATCAAGGCTCTCTTTATACATTATGATGTTGGAAGTGTGACGTCGAACATCTTTTCAAGTTCGCAATTCAAGAAGTGGTTTGCTGTTATTAATGACGCCTACTCTAACGAGTCTCAGCACGGTTACGAGAGAACTCTTGAGGCTTTGATCACTACGTTTGGCAAAGAGAGAATATACAAGGATTTGGCCAAGGCTTGGGAAGATCCAAGTGCGCGAGAGGCTGGCAAGCTACTGGATCGTGCTCTTTCAAACATATGGGTGAAAAAGGGTTTGAAACACAATTCGGTACAGCAAGACTTCTTGAAGTGGTTCTATTATAGATCGTTCAAGAACTGGTATTTTCCTACGATTGATTTTCTGCTAGATGAAATGGAGAAAATTGGCTTTTTATATGGATTTAGCGCCATGCTGAAAACAGCGGAAACTCGAGTGAGAGATGTTGGCGACTACGATGCCAGAATCACAAAATTGGAAGAATGGAAGCAAAAGAACTTGTCAGATATGGATTTGTTCGTCATGTTGGACTTCGAAGACCGCCACAACAAGATTTTGCTTACTAGTGATGAACTCTACACCTGGTATGATTTCGCGAAGTTAAAAAAAGGCAATCCATCCGAGGCTTTGCGAGATAAGCTGTATCGGCAAGGATCTGAAGAAGATGTAGCCGTACTTCTTTCTGTTGTCGCCAAAGAACGCGATCACTCCCTTGGCGAGGAAACGCTTGATGCAGTGTTTCAGAGATGGAAAAAAAAAAGAACAGATCATCAAGTCGCATCTGGTCTTTTTTCCAGAAGAGGTAACAAGGATATTTTCAATAGAGAGGAGATGTATGTATTTGACTCCTACATGCGATTTCGCCACAAGTCTGGTCCACACAAATTGATGTATGAAGAGCTGAGTTTGTTTTTTGGAGACAAGTTTGATGAAATGTTAGCTAAAGCCGTAGAACGCGGCAACTTGATTGCGATGAGACTTTACTGGGCCAAGAGAAGTAAGTAAGTAACTGTGCACTTATCACTCTTGCTATTCGCTAGCAATTTTAACATACGTTGTTTTACTCGGTATAATGTGTCAAGTGATGTCTTTAAAGTCAGCACTACTCTCGAACGTCAAAGCTGAAACTTTAAAGATTAAACAAATCAATAAATATCAAAATTACATCAATCTAATCTTTGATCTACTTCATAAAGCATTTTTATGAGATTTTAGCAAATTCGAGGCAATGCCAGATACCCACACGACAGAAATGAAGTCTTTCGGCGACTGTACAGGCTATTCGACTTAGCAGAATTACTTTCAAAGCAATGCCTAAAGCTGGATAAGCCCATCTTAACTACTTTGAAAGCGGCGAAGCAGCGTTATCCTCAGCCTTTGCTTGCTATCTCAACTGTAAGTACAGCGTAGTCATCATGTTACTAGACACAGTCAAATCTACTCTAAAGTTCAAGACAGAAGAAGATTAAGGGCATTTCCATACCTTACATTCATAAACACTACTGACGCTCAGTCTCGCTCATGTACTTGCCTTTTGCAAAGACCCACTCGTTGACAAAAGCGAGAAATTCTGTATAGAGCACTAAATTTACTTAGTTGGGTTGATGAGCATAGTTCAATGCTACTTGGAAGTGTGCAAGGTACTGTGTGAGAAGACTGAATGCTTCTTATATTAAATAAGCATTCCTTCTTGCACAGCTTCAATTAGGTCCAACGGGTGCCGCTGGACGGCCTACGTAAGTTTAGTGCGCGAGAAATATTTCTTGCACGAACAGCCAAAGCTTTCGATGCTGCACAATTGGACGGGACACTAAATGGCATAAGAAATTGAAGACAGCAGATCTCTCTGACCCAACATAAATAACTCAAGGAGGTCGTCGAGCTCACTTGCGGTTTGCTTTCCATCGAAAAGCATCGCTTGGAACGATATTTCAAACAAAGACTCTTAGCGACAAAGTGGTTGGTTCCATGAACATTGATGTTGTGTTGTACTATTCAGGCCTAGTCCATTCTTTGGACTTAACTTGGGCACTGGCGTTGATGACGATTCTCTCGACCAAATTTATCTGAACAACCTCCTCCACTGTTTGAGTCTTCTTGTCAGAATCGACGTAGACTTTTGGCTCATTACGTTAATTACCGATGGTATAGAAACAAAAAACGTGTGGTTTCTTGTTGTTGTATTTCACCATCCTTTTCTGCTGGCCTTTTCTCTGCTGGTCTTTTCTCTTTAGCAGCTCATAATGGTTCCTCACATTTGCAAGTCACTTAAAGCAGATCACAAAGAGTATGCTGTTTCTGGTATTTGGCAAAGCAATTTTTGAATGATGGTAAGCTGTTAACGTTGAGGTCTAGAGATGTTCAGTAGGATGAGATTGAAGATATAGTATATCTCGTCGGGCTTGGCGACATGTCCAAAATAAGAATCACGAACAGCTGCAAAGTTGCTCTCCTGGCCAATTTAAAACTTTGTAGCATGATCAATTAGATAATTCTGATAACTGTTATACATCATTCATCGAAAAACTGAAGAACACGAAATTCTTTTGAGTACTACTGACTATAGTGAGCCCACTACGAACGCTACAGAACATACTTTTGAACCCACAAGACTCTATTGGCATCGAAAGATTATATGAGAGACTTGAATCGCGACATAAAAGTTTTGATCTATAATCGCGTACATGCACATTACTATGTTATCCTATGAACATTAAGCGAAGCGGCTCGCACCAAGACCTTCCGCATTCACTCCACCCCATTCAAGAACGACGCTTCATATGGATCAGGACTTTCAAAGCTCAGGGCAGTTGACAACAACTGTGACGGGTCACACGGCACCTTGCACAGAGGAAGCTTGACTTCCAAAATTATACAAACTCTAAGTGAACGGCAGTTCACAGATCCTTGGTCAGAGGAACGTTAAC